CTAATTTCCCCCGTTTTCTACAGCCACTGGACATACAGCAAGTCGCACAAATACAAGGCCCAAATTCCTTGAATAAAGTTTGATTCTAGATGCCACTTCATATCTTCCCATTAAACCAGTGTGTCCTGTGTCCCAGGCACTTAGAAACCTGCTTTTCCTGAATGAACCTGTTGTTTATTCCCATATTCTTGTATCTTGTTCAACATCCGCAGCGGTCTGCCAGTGTGTCTAGAACACAATACCAGTAGCCTCTACCCTCCTCCTTTTCCTGTTTAACTCAGTCAGCCCACACCAGTTCCTGATACACCTACCTCCTTAGGAGCCCATGGGCCTGCCCGTGTCTCACTAGCTCCATGCATGTGTGCAAACATCTCCAGGGAAATCCCACATTCCACTCACTGGATTGAACCCCAAAAGATGGTGTACATGTCTTAGAGCCTGTGAAAGTGGAGACTTACTGGGAAAAGGGTCTTTGCAAGTGAACCTCAGTGAAGCAGTTTGAGAAGAGATCATGTTTGAGTATACAGGTAACTCCTAAATCCAGTGACAAGTGTTTTCATGATTGACAGGAGGAGGTAGAAAGAGGAGGTGGCGGAGCATCGGGCAGAGATGGAAGTGATGCAGCCCGAGTACGTGAACTTCAAGGCCTTCAGCGGGAGAGATTGTCCTGCATCCTGTGGAGATAAGGACACTTGAGTCTGGACATCTGTCCTTCTGTATTGAGAGAGAGAGAGAGAGAGAGAGAGAGAGAGAGAGAGAGAGCACTTTGTCATTTGAAGTCACTCAGTTTGGAAGGATTCATCACAGCCACCACAAGAAACGAATGCAGCCCACCTAAAGCAAAATTTACTGCAAGAATTAAGAAATGTGTGAATTCTGGGAGTCACACTCATGGTGGCCTGCTCTAGCAGACGTCCCTTCGGTCCTTCTAGGGTGTGGGCTTATAGCCTCTGCGGCCTGGATCCCCTGTGCTTGGCACAAGCTGAGGGCGGAAGAGATGCCAAGCTGGCATCTGGATGGATGGATGGATGGATGGATGGATGGATGGCGCTTGTAATCACACAACTCATTTAGCCGCCACACTCACGATCCCTGCTCCCTTCCTGAAATGATGCCCTCCCTTGTCCCCTGACCAGCAGGATCAGTCAAGCCATGGAACCAAGGAATAATGGAGTGCTGTCTGGCCCTCACCCATGCCTAATGCTGTGGTTTGTTTCCCAACAGCACATGTTGGAACTGAGTCCCCACTGTGAACTGAAGCAAGGAATCAATCTACATTTGGTGTCTAAAACTGTGATTTGAGAAGGAAACCAGAGTGGAGCCCCCACTATTGATTCTCACTGGCTTTGTAAAGGAAGAGAGAAGCCCAACAGGACACATGCACACTCTCCCACCTCTTACCAGATGATACTCTGCATCACAGAGATGTTACCAACATAATGGCCATCATCATATGTGGCCCCTTAATAGATGCTCCAGAGCCACCAGTCAAAATAAGTCTCTCTTCTCTTCATAGTTTACCCAGTCTATGAGACTACGATATTGTGGGTTTATACTCTGTGAGGTCTCACTGAAGCCACACTGGTCCCATTTTACAGATGAGGAAACCGAGTCCCGGCAGGTGACATGGAATGTAATACCACACGGCTGGACCACAGCCACCAGCCTTCCTGCCTCCTTCTCCAGAGGCATGCTCACACCATTCACTAATTAAAGGTCTGATTTAAGTATCAATTTTAAGATGGTGCCTTTGGTTTTGGGGTAGTAATGTCCAAAGAAAACGGTCTTCTCCCCCTGATGAACATAACCTCTCATTTTTTCATCCCTTTCTTTAATAGAACCAACACATCTGGAGATGCACACGGTGAAGGATGGGTATAGGGTTTAGAGAAACAAGTAAAAGAGAGCGGAGACTCCATGTGGAGCAAAGAAGAAGACAGGACAGTCAGCAAAGGCTCCTAGCCTCTCGCAGAGCTTTGCAGCATGGATCTAGACAGTAGATTCTGGAAAGTCGCCATCAGTAAAACAGCGATAGTGGTCTTCCAGGAAGAGCCTCTGCCTTCCAATGCCTTTCCCCTGCCAAATGGGGTGAGGTTCCATCTTTACATATTTGTTCTTTTAATGTCTGACCTCTCCATCCCAATACATGGACACCCCCAAGATGCTACATTTGACTTTTGTTTCCAGTAACTCCCTAACCCTAGATTCCTCGATTATGACCAGGGATGAGGATACATCCTACTTAAGGGTATAGAGATTCATAAAAGTGAGTGGGAAGAAGGTGAGCTTGGTACAACATGAAGCAGGGACCCCACATACTGGGAGTGTGGGGGCTCCGCTTTGAAATCTGAGGGCCCAAGTCATATGGGAACCTCTGTGCTCCCATCCCATGGAAGCCATTCCTTTGTATTACAGGATTCCCCTCTTCTCAGGTCTTCTCAGGCCTATCTTGACGTTCCTCTACCTACCTTTCTGCAAGTCACTCCACAGCCTCCAGCTCCTAGGCAGTGCTCCCTGAAGGATCAGTCCTCCTAATATATCTGGCAGGGCTAGGGAGGAACTTCTCTCCAGGGGTCTTGTCAGCAGGAAGATCTCTCTGGGAGCGCACTGATGGGGTTTGCAGCTGGAGATGAGTGTCCCACTTGGGACACTGGTGGGAACTACAATCCATGGATGCTCAAGTCCTTCTATAAAATGGCATGGTGTCCACATATAACCACTCTAAGTTGTCTCTAATCCCGTGATAGTTACTGCCATGCGAATGTATTGGTTAGAGAATAATGTTAAGAAAAACATCTAAATACTTCCAGTAGAAATGTGTTTAAAATTTTTATTTTCCCCCTATTTATTTGAGTGGTGAACACATATTCAGGTGAGTTGGGTCTCTCCTTCCACTATGTGGGCTCTGTGGATCAAACTCAGGTCCTCAGGCTTGGTGGCAAGTGTCTTTATCCAGAGTTCCACCATTTCACAGATTATTGTGTGGTTAATTGAACCCTTGATGTAGGACCTCATTTGGCACTGTTGAGAGGGAGGTGAATGGATTTGGTAACGCTGGCATAAGCTACCCTGTGTTCATAGATCCCTCTCAGTGCCCTCTGCCTGAGTTCCCGGTGTTCCCTCAGCCTAGATATAAACAACGTCAAAGGAATGTGTTTGACGTATTGATTATTTGTGGGGTTGGCTCGGTTAGAGCAACGCCTAGCACAGATCACAAAGGTCTTGGCACCCCTGAGAACTGAATCAACTTGCTACTGTGTTGTGGTTTACATATGTCTCCCCAAAGAACCTCAAGCCCCAAATTCACTGCTAATAATATTTGGTGGTGGGCCCATTGGAAGGTAATTAGATTTGGATGAGGTCAAGAGAGGGCTCTGTGAGGACAAGTGGTTTATTTTTTATTTTTTATTGATTTTTATTGAGCTCTACATTTTTCTCTGCTTCCCTCCCTGCCTCTCCCCTCCTCCCCTTCAACCCTCTCCCAAGGTCCCCATGCTCCCGATTTACTCAAGAGATCTTGTCTTTTTCCACTTCCCATGTAGATTAGATCCATGTATGTCTCTCTTAGGGTCCTCATTGTTGTCTAGGTTCTCTGGGACGGTGATTTGTGGGCTGGTTTTCTTTGCTTTATGCTTAAAAACCACTTATGAGTGAGTACATGTGATAATTGTCTTTCTGGGTCTGGGTTACCTCACTCAAAATGATGTTTTCTGGCTCCATCCATTTGTCTGCAAATTTCAGGATGTTGTTATTTTTTTCTGCTGTGTAGTTCTCCATTGTGTAAATGTACCACATTTTCCTTATCAATTCTTCAGGGGCATTTAGGTTGTTTCCAGGTTCTGGCTATGACAAACAATGCTGCTATGAACATAGTTGAGCACATGTCCTTGTGGCACAATTGAGCATCCTTTGGATATATACCCAAAAGTGGTATTACTGGGTCTTGAGGAAGGTTGTTTCCTAATTTTCTGAGAAACTGCCACACTGATATCAAAAGGAGCTGTGCCATATAGTTTTATAATAAAAAAAAATAAGCTACCTGACTTGGCACTGCTCTCACCATGGAGTGCCCTCTTCCGTGGTGGGATAACCTGAGGCCCTCTAGAGCGGGCATGACCAACTCTTCTGTTTTCCTAATGGCTGGTGGGGGGTTCCAAGGACAAGGGACTTCCAGTGCTGAAATGAGAACAGTCCTGAGTCACAGTGCGGCAGAGGATAGATGGTGTCCCGAACAGAGTACCTTCAAGTAACTGCCTCATTTCTCTGTGCGTGCAGATGTTTTGGCCATTTGAGTTTTATATTTTTTTGCATACCCTGTCACCAATGGCCCTAGATCTTCTGTGGTGCCAGGGATTTCTAAGGAGCAATGATGGTAGGTGCCCAGCTCTTTTAGTTTTGTAGGTACGCAGAGGGATATTTGTGCAGGCTGACTTGTTCCCCGCCAGGTCAGACTGACTGTTTTCCTCCACCCCCAAGGCCACTTGCCAGGAAAGGTTCATGGTGGTGGGGGATGGGGGGTGGGGGTGGGCATGGGGGCGATGGTTATGTGAACAAGGTCCAGGCACAGGCAGCTCAAAGCCTCCATCAGAACACTGTTCTGGAAACCCAACAAAGGGGGTTTGCTTATTCATCAGGTGACTAAGAGTCATTTAGATATCCATCTCATTCTGAAAATTACATCAGGGGTTGGAGGGCCTCAGAGTCCTGGACAACCGATGGGCAGCTAGAGACAGTCGGAGTTTACATGGGTCCCATGGAGTAGGATGCTAGGCAGGCACTGCCAATTTCCCAGACACTGATCGATTGCCCACTACAGATTTGAGAAACCAGCCCCTTGTCATGGTGCCCAGTGCCTCAGATGGTGAAACTAGCTAAACGATTAGTGGAATTCAAGCCCAATGCCAAGCTGGTGTGTGTCAGGAAGGGCCAGATTCGGAGGTGGGAGGGGCATAAAGGTTGCTTGCTCATAGTGACTTCATGTCAGTGTTCTTCACCTAGCGTGTGGCCTTGTTGATGGCAAAGGACACATCCTGAGTGATTGCAGATACACGATCTTCCCTGCAGAATACAGATAGCTCCTGCTTCTGTATTAACCAAGGCAGAACTGGTTCTTCTTGTTTCCTCTTCATGGATAGGCTTGTCTACCAGGTGAGAAATAAATCCAACACACAGGGATTTGATTTCTAGAGGTAAATTGTTATACATACATTAACATTCCTGGGGATGGTGGGCAGCTCACTTTCTTGACCTTCTATCCCTGTGAGTTCAGACAGCTCTCATAAGTCTCAGCTTCCCCGTCTGTAAAATGAAGGTAGTAATAGCTACTAATATATATGTGTGTGTGCATATATATGTATATGTATATGTGTGTATATATATATATATATATATATATATATATATATATATGATATCTTGATTTCAAAATTTGGGTCTAAGGATATGCTGCTTTGGAAAAGAGGTTCTGCTTTTGTTTCCACAGAGGATAGAAAACTGTGGATTCCTTACCAGGTAATATGGTTTGATCATACAAGGCTCCCTGAAACAATGGCCTAGATGGTCCAACATCTATGACAGCTTCAAGACTGCTGGCTGAGATGGACCTACCACACAGGATACCCCATGAAAGACCTGATCAACAGCACCTCCAATCAGCAGGAAGTAGTCTAGAGAACAATGCCCAAATTCTCTAAATGATTGTTTAATAAATGTTTGTTTACATTTAAAAGGGGCTATGCCATAAAGATGAATACTTATGGATCTTGGTTTATTGATACAAATTCAAGGTAAATTTTACTATATGTATATTTCTGCTCTTAATGTATAGTGTTTGTGCAGCTCACTTAAAATGTAATGTATAACTGAGAAAAGCAGGTTAGTAGATAGTTATCTATAATATTCAAGCTTGTAGTCATATTAGTTAGGTTTTCTAGATGTACAGAGATATATTTCAGATGGATAGGTATTCAAACATTTCAAAGACTAACAGAATATGGCATTTAAAATGTTTTAAGAACTTAAAACTTTTCATGACAATGAGACTCATCTGTTCCAGGACACACCAATCTACTTCAAGAGGATGATGGGCATCGAAGAGAGTCCTTATGGTGTTTGTTATCCATTTGGGCAAGAAACTGCTCTTGCCTGAACTTCTTGATGGTATTCTGTATGAACTGGACATGCAGGACCCACAGAAAAATGACTGCTGAAGTTACCTAAGAAAGGTGAAACAGTCCTTTAGAGTTCCTGCTTCATGAAAGAGACTGCCAGACATTCTGTAGGATACAGAAGAAAGTGACTGACAAACTGCCAATAGAGGCCAAACAGTCATTTAAATTTCCTGCTTCATGGAAAAATCTGCCAGATACTATGGGCCTGTAAGCTGAAGATGGATGCCCCAATGTTACAGAAGAACTTTGGGTGACTGTCCAGGCAGCAGGTTGTCTCTGTCATTTCTTGCACCTTTTGGAAGTTGCTTGATTGCACTTCCTGTTTACTCAAGTAATATTATTTCCCTTCTCAGGTCTTTGATGGGGTTGAAGACTAGATAGTCATAGTTACTTTCCTTTCATGACTTAGCCAAACCATTTCTAATATAAGATTTATACTCCTTATAGGATAACTATTAAAACTTTAGCATATGTCTCTTGCTTGATATTGTTTATGTTGGTTGTAATTCTAATTTTTATACTCAATAATTGGTCTTATTGTATATAGTTTTGTATTGGGTTTGGAACTCTCTTTTTTAGATTAAAGGGGGAGGTACTTCAGCAAATAGCCTTTAAGGTACCAGCCCACTTTGGGTGTGGTCTCGTGTACTATAAATCCAAGCATGGACCTCTTGGCTGCTGGATTCATTCCCAGTTCCCAGCGTAGGCAGAGGATTGTGAATCGCTACCCTTTCTGTGAGTTCACTCCCTATTGAATCAATCTTTATTATACTTAATTCTGGGCTAGTGTGTAGTATTTTATTATAAATTGCAACACTTACACATAAGCTATTTCTGGACAGGAGCCCCAGAGCTGGGTGTCCTTGGGCTTAGAGCTCCAGAGTAGGCAAAGGGGCTGTACACAATTGCATCTGGAGGATTCTCCAGGCTTCTCTTGCCTCTGGCTTCAGCATGGATAGAGAGAGATATGGGCTATTTACAAAGTGTCACTTTAGGACTTCAGATGACACACCTTCACTGAGACTTTTCTTGAGTTTGATTCCTTATTCTTCATCTAGGGAACTAATGCCTTTTAGAAATCACTATGATTCAGAAATAGGAGAGGCCATGGCACACCTCTCCCAGTATGTGTACAACACAGGCTGCTGCAGGGCTACCTGGCTTTGTCAGTCATATGTTTTCACCCCTATGGCTATTACATGTATGAACAGAAGGATGAGAAATAGACTTTTGACCGATATATTTATGTTTGGATATGAGTGTCTTGCCTTTGTGTGTGTAAGTACAACCACATGCACGTAGTACTGCCTTCATGAATGTGATCACACCGCATACATACAGTGCCTACACAGGCCAGAGAGGGTGCTGGATCACCTGGAACTGGAGCTGACAGATGACCATGAGCCACCATGTGGGTTCTGGGAACCAAGCTCGGGTCTTCTGCAAGAGTAGCATGTGCCCTTAACTGCTGAGACATCTCTCCTGCCCCTAGAAATAGATTGCTTTAAAAGGTGGAAGGGCTAGAAAAGGCTGTGTCTGAACTGATCTTTGGGAAATGTTGGCTTGGTTGAAGTATGGGTCCTGAACATCCTCTTCATAAGCAATGAGTGTTAGAAGACACAGCAGAAGTGACTTTCCCGGTCTAGAATCTCATAAGAAATCTTCACATGAAAGAGCCGAAGAGACAGGAGTTAGAGGCTGCCCTTCGCTACAGGGAACAGCTGGAGGGCTTTGTAGAACTGTATTTCTAATGCTGGACTTTAAATTGTCGGCATGACTCCCTTTCCCTTAGACCTCCCATGAAGCAGGCCACACATGATGGGCGTGTTGGGTTTTCCATTTTAAAGGTGGAAACTAATGGATGTCATGAGGGAGAACAGAGTAGTAGATAAAGAAAGCCAGGAAACTGCCAAGCAATGGAGCATGGGCTCAGAGCTCTAGGTGACAGGACAGTCCTTAATCCTGCCTACCCATGTACCATGTCCCCAGAACACTCATATCCTAATACACACTAATACGTGCACCCAACACGCACGCACATATGTGCACACAGAGAGACACAACAGCAGAATGATTGGGAGAGAAGGCACCCATACACGGTGGGGTCACATTCTCTCAAAATTAATTTGGATCTAAGCAACACAGCATCTTAGCTGATTTCTGAGCTATGAAATGAATAAAAACACTAACGTCAGCTTGTACATCTTGTACATTGTCCTTTCCAAAAGGACTTCCCTATATTTGTCTGTTTAACCACAGAATTCTGAGTCTCAACTTACAGACAAAGGAGAGCACAGACTTAGGAGGTCACAAGACTGTCTCAAAGTGACACCTTCCGGGGTCTGTGCCCACGACTGGTGGATGTCTGTTACTCAGCAGAGAGGCGTCTGGTGGTAAGAGTTTCCAAAAAAAGTGGTTCCAAAAATACAATGAGATGCCTTCTAGAAGGTGAAACTGAGCCTGGAGATGGGGTTGACCACCCAATTCTGTCTTGACTCTGGACAGGGTGAGGGGTGAGTAGAGCAAAGGTCAGCCCATCAGCCCAGCAAATAGAGTGATGTGTGTTTAACCTGCCATAGGAAGGTTGGTGAGGAGATTGAGTCTTCTGAGGTGGTCTAAGATACACATGCAGCCAGACACCAGATGTATACATGTAAACCAGATGGAGTTTAAAGTCACGGTCCTCAGAAGACTGAGTATTTCAAGATAGGTTTGCTTCTGCCCTTGGAGACCACAGAGTAGCCATTTTGTACATTGCAATCACCTCTCTGGACTGCAGAGGTGGCCTTGTGGGTGTTTGCTGAAATGTCGCACTTTGTCACTAGAGGGAGCCCATGTTCCCACTCCTTTCTGCTCCAGAGATTTGAGCTTGAGAGAGAAGTTGACTTTCTTTCCAGCCTCCCAACGGAATGCAAGGAATCAAACAGCAGATGCTGTAGTAGATGCATCTGTAGAGTGATTGCCGTTTCTAACTTATGTTGTTAGACCCTGAAATACCAAGCCAGAGCAATAATCCCATGATGAACTTACCACCTCATCCCTGGATTCAGTCTCTTCTCACCACCAAAGGCAGGATCTGGGGACCCCATAGGCAGAGGACTTAGATAGAAGAAGCAGAAGTCTTTCTACTGGGCCAGGTCCCTTTTGGAAAAATCTGCCTCTTTGGAAAGGGGAGGAGAAGGCTACGGAAAAACAAGACTTATTGGGTCTCTCAGGTTTTCCTGGCCTCTCTACCCTCTGGATTTCTTCGGCTGAGCTATGTGCCCAACAATAACAATAAGCCATTCATCAAGGAGACAGAATGCAGAGGGATTAGTTCTATGGGCAGACAGTTTTGCTTCTAACCCTTCCCAAACTACACAGAACTGCCCCAGGTCCAGGAACTGTGTCTACCCTCTGTACCACAAAACCCCCAATGCCTAGAATAGAGCCTGGCACTGGAGGACATTAAATATTTTATGAAAAAGCCAAGAACTCTGATCTCCAGTGTTTTTCTTTAACCTTGGACTAGTTACATCGTGTCTGGTTCCCTTGTTTTCCGGAACAAAGTATACTAGGGACAGACTGGTGAAGGATAAAGGACAACCCAGCAGAGGTCTCTGCTCTGAGTCAACAGCCAGGTAGACTTCAGTGGTGGCGATCTAAGCAGCCATTCATGTGTGTGTGTGTCTGAGGTCTAAGGTGATCCTTCTAGGGACACAAGCCTATTGCTAGCTAATTTCACAGTTGAGGAAACTGAGGCCAGAGAGGCTGAGTGATGTGCTCAACTTTATCTTGTCAGTGAGTGGTGATGAATTAAATCAAGGTTTAAGAGCCAGGCAGGAGGATTCTATGGCTGTGTTCCTATGTCTAGAGATGGCTTGCATAGGGCTCTTCTGGTTACTGTAGCCAATAAATGACGACGCATGGTTTCTGGTTGTCCCGTGTAGATTTCCTGTCAGCCATTTCTGCATCTGCTGATGCCTGCCAGCACAGGCACCTGGTCCACCAGTCAAGTGCAGGTGCCAGCATCATCCCAGCTCTTGGCATGTTCAGATGCTGAGTTCCATGGGTCTGAGACTTTGGGATATGCATCTCTACTGAGTTATGACACATCCTAGTATCTGTTTTCCTGGCGTGAAATGTGATGTTGATACACATCCAATTTATGTAATGTCCAAACCAGGGTGACTAGCTTGCCTGTCACTAGCATTCCTCATTTATTTGGGATAAGGACATCCAACAGCCTCTCTCTTAGCTGTTTTGAACTAAGGAAAACCTTACTGTTAAACTTCACCATCCTGCTGGGCAGAAGAACACTAGATGCATTCCTCTTAGCTAGATCTGAGCAACTTCTGCTTCTTCTTTCCATGCCCAGCCTACAGAACCCACCATTCTGCTCTTAACCACTAGCCTGACTTTCAGGATTCCACGTGTGAGAAAGCTGATCCAGGGTTTGTCCTCCTGGGCCTGGCTCATTTCACTTAGCGTGCTGTCCTGTCCCCAGCTTCATCACAGGAGTGTGTTCTTTTCTGTGGATGATGGAGACCTGCGTCTCTAACAAGCCCTTGGATAATTCTAATGCAAGTGCTCATCCCACTTTGGAAGTTCATCTCTTCTCTCTCTTTCTCTCTCCTTCTCAGACAGACCTCTTTCGTAGAATTATTTAACAGTGGATCACAGGCCCTTGTGGCTTCCAAGATCCTCTGCCTAAGACTGACTGACTCCATTTCTCCCTCCCCCAGCCTTCAGGTGCCATCCCTGTGGCCTGCCGTCCAAGGACAGTGCTGAGTTGGCTCCGAGGCAGCCACCAACCTGCAGAGAACATTACACCCAGAAAAGGGAAAGGGTGGGGAGTGTGAGCTCTTCCCTATCTTCCCTATGTCTCCCTTCTCCATCTCACTCTGCTTCTGCTTCGGAAAAAAGGAAAATCGCCAAGCAATTGCTCCTTGACAAGCCCTACTTGTCCGCAGCAGTTTGATTTTGCTGGAATTATAATGAGGGATCAGTGCATTTAATTGGGAAATCTATGAGTGGCAAAGACCCTTCATGTTTTAAAGGCACCCTGAGGATGTCCCTCACATTTGATTTGGGTAAGGGCACCCAAAGTCTCATGTGTAGCCTTTGAGGTAGAGAGAGGAGCCCTGGGCTATCTGTAATGGTCAGGAATGACAATGACATGGCTATACACTGGCCACACACCACAGCCA